CAGTACCGCGACTTCTTCCTAACCTTCTCCCCCACATCCAAACCTCCCACCATTCGTACGCTCATAGATGTCGCAACTCGAGAAAACTTTGAGATCAAATCCATGGATGCCTCATCCGCCTTCTTACAAGGTCGTCTCAAGGAGACAATGTTCATGGACAGACCTGAAGGCTTCACAGGAGAATTCCCTCCCAACACTGTCTGGAAGCTGAATCGCCCCGTTTATGGCCTTAAGCAAGCCCCTCGCAAATGGCACAACAAGGTGAAAGAAGTCCTCCTCTCCCTGGACTTCCACCCTTCATCTGCTGACCCGACTCTCTTCATCCGCCGTCATTCAGAGCCATTCTACATCCTGGTCTACGTGGATGACTTCATCCTCGTTGCCAAGGACTCGGCCCAGATGACCTCTGTCCAGGCAGCCCTGAGCAAGGCCCTCCAGATGAAAGACCTCGGTGACCTCAAGCACTACCTGGGGATGGAGATCACTCGTGATCTCCAGGCTCGCACCATTTCACTCTCCCAGGAGTTCTACATCGACAATGTGCTCAAGCGGTTTGAGATGGAGCTGTGCACACCTGTTGCCACCCCGCTGCCGCTGCAACACCTCCTCACAGCTCCAGCTGTACCCACACCAGAGGCCTGCTCTGAGCCATACCCGGAGCTTGTTGGGTCCCTCATGTACGCCATGATGTGCACTCGGAGCTTGTTGGCCTATCCTGTCAGTGTCCTCTCTCGCTACGTGGCCCCTGGACGCTTCTCTGATCTTCACTGGAAGGCGGCGAAGCGGGTGCCGCGCTATCTTCAGGGCACCAAGTCTCACGTTCTCACTCTCGGTGGGCTCTCCCCTTCTCGCCTGGAAGGTTACATTGACTCCTCCTGGGCTGATGACCAGACCGACCGACGCTCCTCTCAGGGGTACTGCTTCACCCTTGGGAGCGGAATTGTCAGTTGGAGCTCCACCAGGTCGTCTGCAGTCTCCCTCTCCTTATGTGAGGCAGAGCTCTACGCATGCACCATGGCTGCTCAGGAGGCCCGTTGGCTCACCTTTCTACTCCAGGAGCTTGGTTGTTAGAGACTAAGGACGGAGCCTATGAAGATTAGGAGCCAAAATATCTCAACATCGTTGGGCCTAGTTTCTGAACAGAAAAGTCGAGTTCACAAGAAACGCCGTCGACGGAAATTTCATGGTTAAAACTTCACCAAACTCAGATATGTTGTAGCTCTACTTCGTGGCTACAATTCCCAAGTTGAATCGTACGGAAAGATGAAGTGTGTCTTGAGTTATCGATTTCAGCGCACTAGGGGGTATGCTGCCATAGAATCTTAACTCAATCACAAAGTTCACACAAGAGAATTGGAGTAGCACTAAACTAGGTGGAAGGGATGAGGAGGACGAGAGGGAAGGTCCCAAGAGAGTCCTCAACCAAGGAAACCCCATGCCATACAATTCCCTTCCCCATAGGCAACCCAACTTTGACCTTTGTCACTATCCCAACCTCCACAATCCACCTCAACCCAACTTGGCCACACTTGCCAACCGGGTTTGGTTTCTCCCAACCATTTGGCAGCAACTACAGTAGAAAAGACGAATTTCCCAACCCCCAAAAGTTTGTACCCCATATTGAGTCAACCCCACAACTTCCCATAGTCACCACAACCAAATATCAAAAGCATACGAACTCCAACGTTTGTAACTTTCTTGTTCGTGCTCCGATTGAAGCGATACTTGGTTCCTCGAAAAGCTCTTGAGCAGAGGAGTCACTTCAGATATCTGCTCAAGCCAAATAACATTCACACACACACTCAGAAAAACCAAACCGCACAAAACACAAATTCTTGCACACACTCACAACACGCATGCAACGCACGAACATATGATGGGAGGCAGACAGACGTGAATGCGAATGGTAGCATCACTCAGCAAACTCCCCCTCTGGCTGCCAACCATCATCCCACATGCCATAGCTCAAGCATGCATCCTCAATGCACACTCATCCCAGCAAGCTTCATGCCCTTCCAATGCTCAGATTCAGCCAGGCGCTTGGTGAGAATGTCAGCCGCCTGCTGATGGGTCTTCACAATCTCCAGCCGCACCTCCTTGTCCAGGAGCCCCTTCTCACCCAGTGCCACTTAGGCCTGATGTGTTTGGTCAGCCCATGAAGACAAGCATTCTTCGCTAGCTTCACCGCCGACTCATTGTCACAGAAAATCACAGTCGGCTCCCTCTGACCAACTCCAATCTCCTCCAACAAACGCCTCAGCCACACCGCCTCCTTTGCCCCATGATGCAGGGCCACGTACTCTGTCTCACACGAGGACTGCCCCACTTCATTCTGCTTCTTACTGCGCCAGCTCACTGCACCACCTCCAAACAGGCACACATAGCCTCCAATGCTGGTGCCATCCGCTTTCACCGAGTTGAAGCTAGCGTCAGTGTAGCAGGTCAGGAGCATCTCCCCCTTGCTCAAATCAGCTGCACCCCTCTACAGCCTCTGCCTCACAGCACTGTACTCCAAACCCACTGATGCCGTTGCACTCACATAGCGGACCAACCTCTTGGCCGCTTCCAGCTGCTCATGACTGGGGCGTGAAACCACACTAGCAAGCCTGGATCTTGCAAAGGCAATGTCAGGCCGTGTGTGGTTAGCCGCATAGTTGAGTGCCCCAACCATGGAATGAAAAAGTTTCCGGTCACTCTCACCCACCACCTCCTCATCAGCACAGGGCTCCACAGTGAACCCCGAAGGCAGTGGGGTGGCTGGCTTTCCTCCATCTTGCAGCCCATACTTCTCAGCCAGCCCCTCACAATACTTTCTCTGGTGCAACCTCAACACTCCCTTGTCAAGGTCCCTCTCCACATGCATCCCTAAATAGTACTTCACATCTCCCATCTTGGAGCACTTACACTGCATCTCCAGCATCTCCTCCACATGCTCAATCATTACAGACGACTCAGAGAAGAGCAGGATGTCATCCACATACACCAGGAGCATGAGAAACTGCTCCTTCTCCTGCAGCAGGAACAAGCTGTGATCACACTCACTCTTCTTGAAACCCCCAGCCAGCAGAGTCTCCTCTAACTTGTGGTACCATGCGCGAAAAGCGTGCTTCAGGCCATAGATGGCCTTCTTAAGCCTGCACACCCTGCCGCTCCCATCATCCAAACCTTCAGGCTATAACATGTACAGCTCCTCCAGAATGATCCCATTGAGGAAGGTGGTGGTGATGTCCATCTGCTTCACCCGCCATCCACGGTTTGTTGTGCCTTTCCCCACAGGAGCATAGAGCTCGTTGAAGTCCTTTCCCTTTGTCTGCTGAAACCCACTAGCCACAAGCCTTGACTTGTAGCGGGTCAGCGCCCCATCAGGTCCGTACTTGTGCCTGAAAATCAGCTTGGAAGAAATAGCCTTCTTCCCGGGTGGCAGCTAACACAGCTCCCACGTCTCATTCTCTAGCAGAGAATCATACTCCTTCACACTCTGCTTCCACTTTTCAGCATCGGGCCCGCTCAATGCCTCAGCTAGCGTCTTGGGCTCAGGGACGGCTGCCTAGTAGCAGTGTGCTATCTCATCCTCATCACACTGCTCAGCCACACTCCCAGCCCTTACCACCTTTGGCTTGCCACGGCTTGCATAGGTCAGCCTGTTAGGAGGGCGCACATCCCTCCTAGGATGGTCAGCGGAACGTCCGGCACCTTGTGGAGCACCTTGCTCCTCCTCCTCCCGCTGCTGCTGCTGCTGCTGCTGCTGCTCCACCTCAAGTTCTCCCCCATCATAAGTCACCCCAGAGATCTCCTCCTTGGAGACAGAAACCTCCACCTGCCTCGAAGGCCGCTGCACCTCATCGGCCTCAATGATCAGTGGTGTTGTAGGAAGCTTCTGCTGCTGCTGCTTCCACTCCTTGTAGAACAAGGACTCAAGGAACTTAACATCCCTTGACATAGTCAGTTGCTGGCTCGTTAAGTCCCATATCAACCAGCCCTTGTGGTCCTTGGCAAGCCCCAAGTGCACACTCCATCTCCCAGAAGCTTCTAACTTTCCTCTCTTCTCCTTCGGTACATGAAACACCACCATGCAGCCATAAGTTCTCAGCATGTTGACTGCAGGCGCACTCCCATACCACTTGGTGTAGGGGACCCATTGCTTGTCCCCCACAGTCGCCAGCACCTGGTTCTTCACAACAACGACCTGCCGCAGTGCTGTCACCCAAAACGGATCCGGCAGCCCTGCACGCCCAAGGAGAGTGCGAGCACCTTCCTGCAGGGTCCGATTGAACCGCTCAGCCACGCCATTCTGCTGAGGGTTGTAAGGCACTGTGAGCTGATGCTGGATCCCCTTCCGCTTCAGCTCCTTCTCAAAATCAGCGCGGATGAACTCTCCTCCGTTGTCAGTGCGGATCACCTTCACCTTGTGTCCGCTTTCCCTTTGTGCTCTAGGCATCCACTCCTTAAGAATAGCCGCTGCCACCTCCCCCTTAGTCTTGAGAGGGTACACCCACACCGCACGCGTGTGGTCGTCCACAATCGACAAGAAGTAACGGCTGCTCGAAAGAAAAAGGGCCCTCGTGGGGCCCACCACATCCATGTGCACTAGTGCAAGTGGTGCCTTGGCTGGTCCTGTGCTGCTGCTGAAGGGAAACTTCGTGAATTTGGTCTCAAGGCAGGTAGGGCAGTGAGAAAATTGAAACGAGAATGATGCCCTAAGGAATGGAATGTGGTACAAATATGCAACCCTAGAAATGTGTACCCCATATGGGCTACCCCACTACAGCCTACAGAACATTATGATTTGACACACCCCCATAGGCAAAGTGAGGGAGAACAAGGGGTCACAAGACCAGTCAAGCAGAACAAAGCAAAGCTCAGGGTGGATCACAAAGTCACCACACATTCCGAGCACAAGTTCAAGGCTAGAAGGCCAGTTCACATGCAGGAGCACATATGTATATAAAAGGCTAAACAAGCAAGAGCAGGAGTAAATAAATGTAACAGTACAAGCAAGGTCAAGAAGTGAGCAAGTGAGGCAAGGCAGGCACAAGACCAAGCTGAGTACAAAAGCGCTGATGATCACAAGGCGCAAGTGCCTTAGTGAAGATATCAGCAGTGTTGGCCTCAGAGGCCACATACGCAAGTCGCAACTGACCACGCTGCTGCAGCTCACGAGCAAGTAAGTAGCGGAGAGCAATGTGCTTCGTTCTGTGCTCCAGGCGCTGCTCCCGACACAAGGCCAGCATGGCCTTGTTGTCTACGTACAGCACTGGAGGAGAACGAGGCGGCTCTCCGAGGTCAGTCAGTAGGTAGGTGAGCCAGCGAAGCTCCTGAGCAGCCATGGCTCCTGCGTAGATCTCAGCCTCACAACTGGAGCCGAGAACGGAAGACGAGCGAGTAGCCCTCCACGAAACAGAGCCGGAACCAAGGCTGAAGGTGTAACCCTGTGACGACCGCTGTGTAGCCTGGTCGTCAGCCCAAGAAGCGTCTGCGTGCCCAGTGAGGACCACTGGACTCTGCCCTCCAAGCACTAGCCCCATGCCTGACGTACTGCACAAGTAGCGCAACACCCTCTTCGCTGCAGCCATGTGCTCCGGTCTGTGTCTCCCAGGAGCAACATAGCGTGCAAGAATGCTAAGAGGGTATGCAAGGTCAGGTCGTGTGCAGGTCATCAGGTACATGAGGCAGCCAACAAGCTCTGGGTACGGCCCACTCGACTCTACGGACTCATCCGAAGGCAGAGCTGAGAGCGAGTGGCGAGTAGGCAGAGGAGTGGCCTGAGGCAAGGAGTACGTGAAGCCAAAGCGCTGAAGGACCTGCTGCACCATGTGTGACTAAGTCAAGGTAATGGTGTGGCGTGCTCTGTCCCGGGTGATCTGCAAGCCAAGGTAGCTGCGCAGTTCACCTAGGTCTGTGCACGTGTGTCTCTTCTGCAGCTCGGACTTCACGTGGGCGAGTCCAGCTGTGTCAGCAGTGGCAAAGACCAAGTCGTCGACGTACACGAGGATGTAGAACGGCGGCAAAGAGGTGTCGGTGCGCAGAAACAGCGACGGGTCGGCAGTAGAGGGAGCAAACCCAAGAGCCGCAAGCGTAGTCCTCAGTGTGTCGTGCCACTCACGCGGTGCCTGGCGGAGACCGTAGACTGGCCGTCGGAGGCTCCTCTGGGTGCCAGGAGGAAAATTCCCAGTGAAGCCAGGTGGGCGGCGCAGCCAGATCTCCTCGTGCAGGCTACCCTGCAAGAAAGCAGTGCTGAAGTCAAGAGAGTGAAGCTCGTAGTCGCGCTGAGCGGCTATGTGCAGCAGCACCCGAAGAGTGGTCATCTTCGGGGTGGGAGAGAAGGTCTGAAAGTAGTCAACTCCCTGCCGCTGACTGAAGCTACGAGCCACATACCGCGCCTTGAAGACAGGTGGAGAACCTGGCGGCCGCTTCACCCTGAAGATCCACATGCCACTGACGATGTTCGCCCCAGGTGGGGGAACCGCGTCAACGTAGGTGCCTGTGGACTTCCAGGAAGCCATCTCTGCATCCATAGCTGCCTGCCACTGAGAAGAGTAGGGACCCTCTACGGCCTCCGCGTAAGAGCGTGGAGTCGGGATGTCAAGTGCATCCGGGTCTCCCTCAGGGGTAAGCAGTACGGACACAAGATGAGGTGAAGCAGCAGCCAGACACTGGAACTCCTCCTGCCTGTCCTCAAGGACGTCCGTGCCAAGGGCACACTCACCCCCGACGGACGGAGGACAGACAGACTCAGACTCAGCGACAAGACTAGCAGCGTAGTCTAGACGACAGTGAGCAGCAAAGTCGACGAGCTCAGCAACTAGGGAAGACGCAGCAGTGGACTCAAAAGAAGGGCCAGTGACGACAGTAGCAAGGAGACGCGTGACAGTAGGACTCGCAGCACGAAGAGAGTCCGACTCCGGGTCGGCAAGAGCAGGAAGAGAAGACTCAGGAGGAGAAGGCAAAGGGGCACGCAGAGGAGCAGTGGACGAACGCAGAGACATCCGGTGCGTGCTAGGGACAGGAGGAGGACGCTGACGCGAACCGCGACCACTAGTGCGAGCAGCACGGACAGGCGACGCAGGGCGAGACGCAGGCTCACGACGCTCAGCAAGACCTCCTGTAGGACCAGTGTAGGGAGACGGAGCAGGCAGTGGGGAGGCCGGCAGTAACTGTAGCTATGACGGGTCAGGCGGTGGACACTCTAAGGGGGGAGGAGGACTAGTAGAAGGCGGGAGACCAAGAACCTGCTGAAGGAGCGGAACGAAGTACGGCCGAGGCCGCGCGGTGACTCCAGACACAGCAGGGACAGCACCAGCACCCCCAGCGGCAGCACCAGCGCCAACAGTACCTCCAGCTGCAGTACCTCCAGCAGCACCAGCAGCACCCGCAGCAGGACCGCCGCCAGGCTTGACAGCAGTAGCCTCAGCGCCAACACCCTCAGTAGCTCGAGCTCCAGTCGTACCCGTAGGCCCAGCAGCTCCAGCACTCCAAGCACGAGAACCTCCGGGACCGGCGGCACCAGCACCCTCAGCAGCCGAAGAAGCACCAGCACCAGCAGAACGCCTCCAGCGCCGGGCAAACCACTCGCGCAGCTCCTGTGAAGAGAGTGGCTCCCGCCGAGACGAAGCACCCAGAGTACCTCCAGGCCCAGCACCGCCAGACGCCACACAAGCAGGCCCAGCGGCCGCCGGCTCCGCACCCTCAGGCTCAGCAGCTCCAGACGTGGCACCCCCAGGCTCAGCACCCCCAGGCGTAGCACCCCCAAGCTCAGCACCCCCAGGCGTAGCACCCCCAGGCCCAACACCCCCAGTCTCACCACCCCCAGGCTCAGCACCCCCAGCAGCACCAGAGTCACCTGTAACCTCGACAGGCTCGACTGCGTCTACCTGGGACACACTTGAAGGGGCACGACCCTGAGGGGGGAGGGGGTCTACCGGGGGGGGACCTGGCACAAGGAAGAGCGGTGGCGGGGGGAGGGAAGGAGTGCGGTAGGGGAAGAGGCGGTAGTAGGGGACCGACTCGTCAAACGTGACGTCCTGGGAGGACAGAACACGACGAGAGGTGGGGTGGTAGAACTGCCACCCTGGCGCGTCAGGGGGGAAGCCAAGGAAGACGCAAGGAGCAGCACGAGGGGACAGTTTGTCCGCAGACAAGTCGCGGACAAACGCCCGAGATCCCCAGACACGGAACGCAGACGCATCGCCTACCTTCCCTGTCCACAGCAAAGCTGGGGAGGTCTCTGGCATGGAGACCCTGGGGTGAAGGTTGATCTGATGCGCCGCGTACCGAACCGCAAACGGCCACAGAAAATGGGGGGCAGCCGCATGCATCATGGACGTATGGGCGACGTCCATGACCATGCCAATGCGGCGCTCAGCAATCCCATTTTGCTGTGGAGAGTCCGGAAGCGTAAAGGTCTGGCGGATGCCTCGCGCACGGCAGTAGGCTCGCAGAAGGCCAGAGGAGAACTCTCCGCCTCGGTCAGAGTGCAGACGCAGAACAGGAAAGTCCGAGCCGAAGCTCCTCCTGAGCTGGAGACGAGCTGCGCGGATCCAGTCGATCAACACCTCAGTGACATCACCCTTGCTGCGCAAGGGGAAGACTGTGGTGTAACGCGAGTAGTCGTCAACCACCAGCAGGAAGTAGCGCTCGTGACCCTGTCCACGGACGCGGGCCGGGCCCCACACGTCCATGTGAAGCGTCTGCAGCGGGGCCTCTGTCGGGGGAAACTGAGAGGAGTGAGGGGCAGCCTGCAGCCGCCCCTCGACACAGGGGACGCAGGTGGGGCCAGGCCCCGGAGGAAGGGGAGGGAGGGACCGGGGAAGACCAGAGACAAGGACACGGGAGGCCATGCCGCGGAGATGAGGCAGGGAGGGGTGACCAAGGCGGTGGTGCCAGAGGAGAGTCTCGTGAGACAGGAGGCGACACGAGCAGGGGGCAGACTCAGGGCCAGACCTGGACGCTGCAGCAAACACCTGACCCGACGCAGCTACCTGACCAGACGCAGGGACAGGAGGAGACTCAGTGGTCAGGGTGTACAAGCTCGACCCCGGCCGACGCGTAAACGTGGCCAGGTGCCGGCCTGTGCGAGCGTCCGAGCAGTGGGTCACCCGCTGACTCGCAGGAGTAAACTGGTGAACCCCCGCATCCTGTAGGTCAGCACCACTCACCAAGTTCATAGAGAACGAGGGGAGGTAAAGACCAGACAAGGTGCCAGAGGGGGCAGCCGGACACGGGAGGACAGTGGAGAAGTGAGAAAGGACAGGACCCCCAGAGGGGTCAGCCAGGGAGAGTGCAACCGGCCGACCAAGCGGCGTGAGTGTGGTGCGGTCTTGAAAGAAGGAGCGAGAAGCCCCTGAGTCAAGTGTGAAGGTGAGGGAGGCCGAAGCCGACGCGGTACCTGCGAGCGCAGACTCACCAGCACCTGAGGACGCAGACGCACTGGCACCTAGAGCGGCAGCCTCACTGGCACCTAGAGCAGCAGCCTCACCAGTATCAAGAGCAGCAGTCTCAATGCCCGGGTCGGGCGGGAAAGACCGGTAACAGTCACCCTCATCACAAATAGACACAGCATACATGGCAAAAAGGATAGGATCAAAATCAAGATCATAGATGGGAACTCCCGCCCTAGACAGCTCGCCCCAGCGAGGGATCTCTGTGGCCTCCGGGAACTGGTGACGCCACGCGTCCGTCAGGCGGCCAAAGCAGCGCTGGGTGGGGTGCGCACCCCCACACTGCTCACCCGCACGGTCGCCGGTGCGCAGGACGTAGGTGCACGGACCAAAGCCCCCACCCCGCTAGCGTGCAGTGTACCACTCACGAAGCTGCTGAGGGGACAGGGTCTCACGACCGCGCTGCTGCTGCTGGGGCGGACCACCACCGGAGCCACTCCTCTGCGTAGACCCGCGACCAGTTGCACCGCCACCCCCGCCGCCTCCGCCGCCTCCGCCGCCTCCGCTTCTACCGCCGCCTCCGCCGCCTCCTCCACCGCCACCACCTCCGCCACGTCCGCTCCCACCGCCACCGCCGTCGCCGCCTCCGCCTGCACTGCCGCCACTGACACCTCCACCCCCACCTCTACTCCCACCGCCACCCCCACTCCCCCCGCCGCCTCCACCTCCACCTCCACCGCCCCCGCTCGCTCCTCCAGTGCCCCTGCCCCCCTTGCACTTGCCAGAGCGGCGTCTCCCGCTAGGGGCAGACGCCGCACTGACCGACTCAAGACCAAGGAGGCCGGCCACAGCAGCAGAGGCAACAAAGGGCAGAAGGGGGGAGGGGGAACACCCCTCAAAGATGGGGGTGCGCGGGTCACCACAAGAGGCCCCTACAGCGACTATGCTCTTCTCGGCCGCTAGGAGGGACTTCTCGAGGAGGTCAACAGTGAGAGTGGTGGGACAGACTGAGAGGAAGTGGTCCCTGACTACGCGAAGGGAGTCAGGGAGGCGAGTGACTATGTAGTAGAGAGTGATGTACATGGGGGGGGGTTCTTGGCGCAGAAGTCAGCAGGAAGCGCAGCGCGGTAGCGAGTGTCACTAGTGCGGAGGTGCGTAATGAGGTCAGCGACTGTGGGAAAGGCAGCAAGGTCAGGGAAGAGGTACGGTAGCATGAGATGGCTCAGTGCAGCAGTGGCAGGGGAGGAGTAGTGTGCAACTACAGCATCGTACAAGGTCTGAGCACTCTTGTACTGGCTAAAGTGCGCACGCTCAGAGGTAGGGAGGTGGCGACGCACTGCAAGACGTGCAGCAGCATCGCGCGTGGCCCACTGTGAGCGAACAGTGGCGTCAGCATCAGCAGCAGGAGCAGGAGAGGCACCAGAAGTGAGGTCAAAGAGGGAGAGACCGTCTGCCCTATCGCACTGTAAGAACAGCTGCAGGTCATCTACCCAGACGTCAAAGTCAATGGCTCGACCCTCGGCGTCAAAAGCGAGGACACTAGGGGTAGCCATGACAACACTAGACTAGCAGCGCACACAGTAGGGAAAGGGCAGTGCAGTGACAGAGGCGCTGTGCTTACCGGACGGGGCTGCTCGGGCGGCTCGGAGGTAGGGCGGCTCGGCGGCTCGGTGGCTCGGCTGCACGACGGCTCGGCTGCAGGGCGGCTCGGCTGCTGGGCGGCTCGGCTGTAGGGCGGCTCGGCTGCTCGGCTGCTGGGCGGCTCGGCTGCAGGGCGGCTCGGCTGCTCGGCTGTCCGGCTGCTCAGCTGCTGGGCGGCTCGGCTGTGCTGCTGTACGGCGGCGCGGCGGTCAGCTGCTCGGCTAGGTGAGGCAGCTCGGGCGGCTCGGGTGGCGGGCGGCGCTGCAGCAGATAACGAGGCCGCAGGGAAGGCGGCGGGGCCGCAAGTGAGGGCGGCGGGGACCGCAAATAAGGGCGGCAGGGACCGCAGGTAAGGGCGGCGGGGACCGCAGGTGAGGGCGGTGGGGCCGCAGGTAGGGCGGCTGGGCCGCAGGTAGGGCGGCGAGGCCGCAGGTAGGGCGGTGGGGCAGGGCCGTAGGTAGGGCGACGGGGCCGGGTCGAAGGTAGGGCGACGGGGCCGGTACGCAGGTAGGGCGACGGGGCTGGGGCCGGGGCGCAGGTAGGGCGACGGGGCCGGGGCCGGGGCGCAGGTAGGGCGACGGGGCCGGGGTCGGAGGTGGGGCGACGGGGCCGGGGTCGCAAGCAGGGCGACGGGGCCGGGGCCGGGGCGCAGGTAGGGCGACGGGGCTAGGGCCGGGGCCGCAGGTATGGCGACACGGCCAGGGTCGCAGGTGGGGCGACGGGGCCGGGGTCGCAGGTAGGGCGACGGGGCCGGGGCGCAGGTAGGGCGACGGGGCCGGGGCGCAGGTAGGGCGACGGGGCCGAGGTGCAGGTAGGGCGACGAGGCCGGGGCCGTAGGAATCAGGGGCCGCTAAGGCGGTGTGACTTGGCCGCTAGGGCGGCTCGACGAAGTCAGAGAGGGGAGCGCGACTCGGGCTGAGCGCGCTCCGGGCAGGAAAAAAAAAAATTTCGACTTGGTGGGCCCTAGGCACAGTTCCCACGAGGGAACCTGCTCGATACCATGAGAAAACTGAAACGAGAATGATGCACTAAGGAATGGAATGTGGTACAAATATGCAACCCTAGAAATGTGTACCCCATATGGGCTACCCCACTACAGCCTACAGAACATTATGATTTGACAGGCAGCTCCCAATCTCCTTTGCTCCCCCCTTCACCTCTAGCCCCTTCAAACACCCATCCTTTACCAACTTCTGCAGCATAGGAATGTTCACATGGCACAGCCTCTCATGCCACGTCTCCCAATCAGCCTCACCACTCCCAGATGAAGCCTTTGCCCATGCAGCTGTCGCATCCACACCAGCAAGCACCTCACCATGTGGCTGCTGTGGCTGCTGCACCTTCTTGACTGCATCCAGGGCCCCAGCAGTTGGTGCAGTCTCCTCTCCTCCCGCAGTTGCTTTAGCCGCTGCCGCTGCCTTTGCCGTTGCTGGTGGTTTCCCCTTCCAAGGGATGATGGGCAGCTGCCACAGGTCCTTGATGCAGCTGCTCTTCTCCTCCAAGTTCCACTGCAGCAACTTCCCAAGCTTTGCACGGCAGCAGGTTGGGCCGAAGGTAACTTCAGCCTTGCTCTTCTGCAGCCGGCGCACAAAAAGAAGGCTAGTGGACAAACCTTCAACCAACAGCACATTCCCAAGCCCCACAAGCTCTCCATTGGCTCCCATCACCTTAGCATTCCCAACACCAATCACAGGGAGCAAAGCACCTGAAGTGGCAGCCACAAACTTGATCTTCCCAGGAGGTTTTACCTCATCAAGCAAATCTGCCCGTGGGGTCATATGACTCGTGCAACTTGAATCGATCACCCAGTGAGTGAGGGGGTGCATCACAACCTTCCCAACTGAACCCACATCACCCCCACTCCCTTGCACATCCTCAACCATGAGGAACATCCCAGGGTCGGCTTTACCTTGTGCACCATCACCTTGTGCACCTGATCCTTGCACAGCGCCACCGCGTGCACGTTCACCACTTGGCGGCTTCATGCCTGGAGGGGCTCATCCTTCAGGCCGGCTGAAACACTTGAACCACGGGTGTCTAGCCTTCTTGCAGTACCAGCACGCACCCTCCATTCGGGTGCTCCCCCTGCCACCAGAGCTCCCATGCCCCTCATTGTAGTCACCTCGACCTCTCCCTCTGCCAAAGCCTCTCCCACGGCCTCGGCCTCTCCCTCCCCCTCTTCCTCTGCTGCCTCCTGCAGCTCCATACCCCTCAGCAGTTTTGTTGGCAGCACCACCTCCCGTGTGGCGCCTGCGGAAGTCTTCTTGCAGAATTTGCTGCCGTAGCCACTCAGGCGTCCATTTGTCCTGCTGAACGTTGAGGGTGGGGATGAGGTTGTCCCACGAGTTGTCGAGCACCGAGATGAACTTGGTGCACTGTTGCATCTGCGACACTTCGCTGCCCGCCGCTGCCATCCTCGCATAGGTGTCCTTGATCTTGTCAAGGACCGGTTTCACATCATCTCCCGGTTTCATGGAGAGGGCAGCCAACTCCTTCTCCAACACAATCACCATCGGCAGCGTGTTGGGCTGAATCACGTCGTGTAGCAGCTTCCATGCCTTCGGTCCGGAATCATCCAACTCCACCAAATCCTTGATGTGCTGGAACATGTCGTTGTTGACCGATTGGAGGATGAGGTCGTACAGCACCGCGCTCTTCTCAATCCACCGATCGCGGGCATCTCCTTCCCCCGGCATCTTCTCCTCTCCCATTGCAATTTTCAGTAGTTCGGAGCGCTTGAAGGCGCTCCGCATCCGCCCGCTCCATTCCTCATAGTTGGAGCCATCCAAAGCTTTGATCTTGGATGGTGGCGGTTCACTCCTCTTCTCAGCTACATCTCCACTCCCTTGATTCATCTCCTCTGCTCCCAATCAGAGGTTTCAGCTCCCCGTTTTGCTGGTCACAATGTAGATCCACACAATCTTCACAAATGTCGGCGCCAACGAAATTTCGGCAGAGTTTCCCCTTAGCGGAAGTCACATCCAACCTCCAGAACTCCACTTAGGCACGCCCACAGGCCATGGTGGGTCTAGGAGGGTCTTCACACTTCAGTAGACTCTCCACAAAGTTCTTAATCAGCTCTGATAGCACTTGTTAAAGACTAAGGACGGAGTATATGAATATTAGGAGCCAAAATATCTCAACATCGCTGGGCCTAGTTTCTGAACAGAAAAGTCGAGTTCACAAGAAACGTTGTCGACGGACATTTCACGGTTAAAACTTCACCAAACTCAGATATGTTGTAGCTATGCTCCGTGGCTAGAATTCCCAAGTTGAATCGTACGGAAAGGTGAAGTGTGTCTTGAGTTATCGATTTCAGCGCACTAGGGGGTATGCTGCCATAGAATCTTAACTCAATCACAAAGTTCACACAAGAGAATTGGAGTAGCACTAAACTAGGTGGAAGGGATGAGGAGGACGAGAGGGAAGGTCCCAAGAGAGTCCCTAACCAAGGAAACCCCATGCCATACAATTCTCTTCCCCATAGGCAACCCAACTTTGACCTTTGTCACTATCCCAACCTCCACAATCCACCTCAACCCAACTTGGCCACACTTGCCAACCTGGTTTGGTTTCTCCCAACCATTTGGCAGCAACTACAGTAGAAAAGACGAATTTCCCAACCCCCAAAAGTCTGTGCCCCATATTGAGTCAACCCCACAACTTCCCATAGTCACCACAACCAAATATCAAAAGCATACGAACTCCAACGTTTGTAACTTTCTTGTTCGTGCTCCGATTGAAGCGATACTTGGTTCCTCGGAAAGCTCTTGAGCAGAGGAGTCACTTCAATTATCTGATCAAGCCAAATAACATTCACACACACACTCAGAAAAACCAAACCGCACAAAACACAAATTCTTGCACACACTCACAACACGCATGCAACGCACGAACATATGATGGGAGGCAGACAGACGTGAATGCGAATGGTAGCATCACTCAACATTGGTTTCCCACAGTCCGCCCCCACCCTCTGGTGTGACAACCAGAGTACCATCCACATCACTCAAGACCCTGTGTATCACACCCGCACCAAGCATATTGAACTCCGACACTTCTTCATCCATGACCTTGTCCAGCAGGAGCAGTTGAAAGTGGAGTACGTTGCATCTGACTGCAACCTGGCTGATCTGTTCACCAAGCCCCTTGGGAAAGTTCCCCACCACCGTCTCCTTGGCGCCATGGCGCTCTGTGCTACACCCTCTCTACCCTGAGTTCGATTGACGCCTATGGGGGGGTGTTAGTGTTAGCCTTCAATCTCACACTTTGTACTTTGTATTTACTATATCCTAGAGTAGTGTAGAATGCCACGAGACTGACAATAGGAGGAGACTTGGTTGTTAATGAACTCACCACCACCATCAGAGTGAAGGCGGCAAACAGGGCACCCAATATGGGTGTTTGCCCGCTCGAGCCAGGCGATGATCGCAGCCGGGGCGTCTGCCTTCGTTCGAAGGAGAGAGACGGACGAGTACCGACTGTGATCATCGACGAGCACGAAAAGGTAGCGATGGCCCTGGCGAGTGGGAGAGGGATTAGGGCCCCAAAGGTCCATATGAACAAGATCAAGTGGCTGGGCAGCAACGGAGGGGGAGCTCCGATGTGGCTGCTGCTTGAGCTTGCTTTGAACGCAGACGGTGTAGGGGGGGGGGCAATAGATTTGGGGAGGGGAGGGAGGGAGGAGGGGAGGCCATGGAGGAGACCGGAGGAGACAGAGGAGCGCAGAGTAGCGAAGTTAGGGTGACCTAGCCTGTGATGGAGGAGGATGGTAGGGTGGGAGAGGGAGCGACAGGAACAGTCAGAGTCAGGGGGGCGGGGGGGAAGGGGTGGGTTAGTGGGAGGGAGGGGAGGGGGGGGGGAGGAGAGAGGGAGAAGCAACTTGGCAGGTGGGGGGGGCGGGGAACCCGAA